TAAAATAACTGTAATTTTTTTTTAATCAGCCAGCTCCACTTTCGGCAAAATTTACTTTTTGAAATACAACGTTTAAAAGTAAAATGGAAAGTTGATTTTACTCTGGTTTGGCTTTACTTTTACAAAAATACATTTTTAAACACGGTCAAAAAGTTTTCTGAATCGCAATTTTATTTTATTCAAAGAAATCATTTTATTAAAACATTTATTAATTTTTTTATAATTTTTTTAAATTTCTTAAGGCTAATACTAAGCGGCTGCTAAGCTAAGGCTGCTAAGCGCTAAGGCAAAACTTATCCTCTAACAAACACTAACTACTAACCTAACAGTTAGTTATTTTACACAGTGTAATATACTAATATTAAGTAACCTAATCCAATTAAATTACCTAATAGCTAATAACTATCACCTTCCCTAAAAATTTATTGATTACAACTTACAATCCTTATTTTACTTAATAAAACAATATCTTTTTATTTTATTATAGTATATAATACAATTATATTATATTATTCATTATACATAAAATAATAACTTTTGACTATTATTTCTCTACTACAGTATTAGTATAACTACAAACTAAACATTACATTTCAAACTCATTACTCGTCCAAAGAAGTCCTGGTCGTAAACAATCTAGCTGGACATGAAAGCTCTAAATTTAAATGAAATGGATACAGCTGATTGTCTAATTTGGTGCAAAAAATTGATGGCAAAGAAAACAACGTCCTACCTCGGAGGAACTTGGTCTGGACGCTAAACGAAGATTGATTGACTGATTTATTCTTAATGATTTGTTGCTAGTAATCAGCGTTTATTATTATTATTATTGTTGTTGTTGTTATTATTGTTATTAATAATTATATTAGTGAATAATTATTTATTTAATAATTAGTTGAAAAATTTATTGTAGCATGTGATGATGACAATTATAATCTTGTTCTTTTCTTGTTGATGTAGTTGACAAACACAAACTACAAATAGTCACACACACACACACACACACACACACACACACACACACACACACACACACACACACACATACAAACAAACTTAAATACACAAGCTATTCAAATAGTTTTTTAGCACCAATTGAATAAATTAGGAAGTCATTTTCAGTTTGGTTTGTATGAAATTTTCATCTCATTAACTTTTTATAAAGAAAGTGTTACTGTGCAAGAAATGCGTGTCTGTATGTATGTGTGTGTGTGTGTGTGTGTGTGTGTGTGTGTGTGTGTGTGTGTGTGTGTATGTATGTATGTATGTGTGTGTCTGTGTGTGTGTGTGTGGTGTGTGTGTGTGTATGTGTATATGTATGTAGTTATTTAAGTGGAAAATTTATTAATTTTTCCATCATTACCATCCCAGGCTTAAATTAAACAGTATTTATCTTTCACTCTGACATCATAGTCTATCTCCTCACCATCCCTAGCAGCAGCAATAGTAGCAGCAGTAGTAGCAGCTTCGTCGTCGTCGTTACCATATATTGTCATGTGTTCATTCATAAACTTCCTGATACAAAGAGAGTCATCTAACTTAATGCATTTCTTGGCTGTATAGCTACCACAATTATTATTATTGTTATTATTATAATTATTATTATTATTATTATTATTGCTATCATCAACAATTAAATGTCATTTATCTTCACTGTATGCCTACTGCCTTTCAAATAATTGCACCATAATCTCTCTCTCTCTCTCTCTATATATATATATATATATTTATATATAATATATATAATATATACATATATATGTGTGTGTTTGCGCGCGTATGTTTGTGTGTGTGATTGTGTGTGTGTGTGTGTATATATATTTATAGTTATAATCATATAAATAGTTATTTGTAATAAATTATCATTGGCAGCAGAAGGAATACATAGACAAAATTGCTTTGATGGGTTATTTAAACTTGAAATAAGTTAATTTTAATTTAAATCATTTAATAATAACGATAACAGTTATAAATAATAAATATTAATCGATTAATGAAAATAATAATAAGTTGTTGTTGACATGTAACATCAATTTCAAATGAATGAATGACAACTTGAACTGCTGACAAATTAACTGATGTTAACATGAAAAGTTATGTTAATTAATTAATTAAATAAATAAATAAATAAATAATATTATTAAATAAAAATAATAATTATATATAAAATACTTCTTTTAACTTCAACAACATCTCGGCCTAGCAACTCTTTTTCATTTGGTGTTATTAAAATTAAGTTAATATCATCAATGACTTTAGCGACATAGAAAACATCAACACCATCATCAGGGACATCAACAGTCACTTCATCGACCACATCAACAGCAACTTCATCGACCACATCAACAGCAACTTCATCGGCCACATCAAAAGCAACTTCATCAACCACATCAACAGCAACTTTGTCGGCTACATCAACAGCAACTTCGTCACCGACAACAACCGTGACGACAACATCGATGACAATAAAACATCGTTTGATTACTGACATTTATGTTTTTTGATTTTTGGTACTTATTAATAACAACAACAACAACATCCACAACATTAACAACAACATCCACAACTACATCAACAAGAGGGACAGGTAATCATGGGCTCATCATTCTCTAAGAAACCTACCAAAACAAACAAGAAAGTCAGCCAAAAAAATATCGACGACGCTGACGATAATAAAAATAAAAGTACAAATAATAAAAATATAAATAACAGGTGTTTATTCTTTTTTTCTCATGCTTTATTTATTTTTATTTATTTATTATAATGTTGGTATTTATTCTCGACCACCCAGATACGTAGATGAGCCGAAAAAACCGAAACCAAAATTGCCCTCCGTGGAAGTCCCGGAAGTTCAAAATGACGTCATGTCACCTCACGCCATACAGGAAGCCATAGGTCAAGGTCAGTTAACTCGCTCAAAATTTTGTATTGGTTCATTTAATTTCTGGAACTATTCTATCCAATCATTTGTTTATACTTATACAGTCAACCAAATCGATCGAACTGTCACCGACCAATCATTAACTATCCGTCCAATCAACCGACCAATCACTAACCACCCAGGTAAGAAAATAGTTCGAGCCCTCTACGACTACAACAATCCGAACAAAGTTGAAGGCAGCGAGCATGCAGACCTCTGCTTCAAGAAAGGTGACGTCATGGAGCTCATCTCCGAGTCAGTTGAGGGGTCCAGGGATGGGTAGATGGATGGATGGAATGGATGGATGGATCGGTCAACAAAGAAACAAACTAACGAAGGAATTAATGAATGAATGTACGAATAAATGAATTGATTAAAATATGGACGAACGAATTGATGTATGAATGAATGAACGAACGAACGATTGAAGGAATGAATAATTAGCTTGACAACGAATGCAGGGATGGTGATTGGTGGCTGGGAAAGAATTTGAACAACCAGCAGATCGGCTACATTCCAAACACATTCATCGCCGAAATCAACAGCCTCGATCAGTTCGCGTAAGCTAACTAGCTGCCTCATTAATATTCTTCTGTTAATTTATGCTAATGTGTGTGTGTATGCATTTGCGTGTGTATGTGGGTGATTGGTTTGTTGGAAAGTGAACGGCGGAAAATAGTTGAATGGATGGATTAAGCGAATGAACGAACGAGTGAATTAATGAATGAATGAATTGATGAATGAACGGGTGAACGAACGAACGAATGAACAAGTGAATGAACGAGCGAATGAACAAACGAATGAACGAAAGAATAAATAAATGAATGACAAAATTCTATTTAGTCATATTTATAATTAAGCCTGTGTTCTTTCCATGAAAAACATTCAAATGTAAAAATTGCTTGTAATTACAATAATAATAATAACAATCATATTTCTTTTTCTTCTTATTATTATTATTGTTGTTGTTATTGTTATTATTAATTGCAATGAACGATAATTAAGCCTGATTAGATTGGGTTAGCTAGCAGTTAAAGGATGTATTTAAGAGGGGAATTCTTTGTCATCATCACCACCATCATCATCATCACCGCCACTATCATCATCATCACCATCAGCTGGTTCCACGGCAAGATATCGCGAAAAGACGCCGAGAAAGCATTATTATCGTCCAGTAACAGCAAAGGATCATTCCTCATCCGCGAATCAGAAACTGTTTCCGGTTGGGTTTTTCCGCTGTTGTTTATTTTTAAAGATACCGTAATAGTATATTTTTAGAAAAATAATCTATTTTTGGATATCAGAATTTATACTTCATTCATTAGGAAAGTTTCAAATATCTTTCTATAACGTTTTACTTCGCGGTATTATACTTTTTATTTATTCACTTAAACATTCGTTCATTCCTTCGTTCATTCCTTCGTTCATTCATTCTTTCGTTCATTCTTTCATTTTTTCCAGGTAGCTACTCATTGTCCGTACTTGATTGTGATGCTGACGGCAAAAAAGTTACAAAACATTACAGGTGATGACGTCATATTAATCATAATCATCATCATCATCGTTATCGTCATCATCATCATCGTCATCATCATCATAACTCCACCAGGATAAAGGACAAAGATGACGGCAGCTGTTACATCACGACCAAAAAACAATTCACATCTCTGGAAGAACTCATCAACTTTTATTCCTGTTAGTTCCACTATTGTTTTACTCATCCATTCATCCATTCATTCATCCATTCATTCATCCATCCATCCATCCATCCATCTAGCTGCGGCAGACGGACTGTGTTGCTTGCTGGTTCAACCGTGTGCGAAATCTCGACCAGAAATGTGGGACCTGTCACGTGGTATGCGCGATAAATGGGAGATTGACAGGTCCGAGTTGGAGTTCGGCCAAAAGTTAGGGTCCGGACAATTCGGGGAGGTCTATAAAGGTCAGTCTTCCCTATGTACTCCTTTATCTATTTCCCTATTCATTCATTCATACATTCATTCATCCATCCGATCATACATAATACGAACAAACACACACGCAAACAAACAAACACACTCACAAACAAACAAACACAGGCATATGGAACCACACGACCCCTGTAGCCATCAAGACGTTGAAGGAAGGAACCATGGAGGTGGAGAAGTTCCTGGAGGAGGCTGCAATCATGAAGAAACTCAGGCACAACAGGGTGATGGTGATGATGATGATGTTGTTATTGGTTATGATGGTGATGTTGGCGGTTATGATGATGATGTTGGCGGTTATGATGATGATGTTGGCGGTTATGATGATGATGTTTGTGGTTATGATGACGATGTTGGCGGTTATGATGATGTTGTTGGCGGTTATGCAGGCACGTTCAAATGTAAGAAATGTGTTCATGGTGTGATTAATAGGACGGACGCAAGGATGGGGTTGAGTGGTGGTATTGAAAGAGTGGAAAGCTTTGTTTACTTAGGGGATAAGCTGAACGCGGATGGAGGATGTTTGAGCGCAGTTACGGCTAGAGTTCGTGTGGGATGGATGAAATTTAGGGAACTGGGTGGGGTATTGTGTGGAAAGAAATGGTCAGTGAAGATGAAAGGGAGGGTATATAAAGCATGTGTGAGAGCAGCGATGGTATATGGTGGTGAAACTTGGGTGTTGAGGAGTTGAGGAGAGAGGAGGAAAGTGTATTGCAGAGGGCTGAAAGAGCTATGGTGAGGATGATGTGTGGGGTTAAAGTGAAGGATAGGAGGAGTAGTACAGAGCTGATGTCAATGATGGGACTGAATGAGGACATTGATAAGGAGATCGAGATTGCGGTGGTATGGACATGTGTTGAGAAGGGATGAAAGGGTCGGGATTAGGCGAGCGTTGGAGTTCGAGGTTGAAGGAGTGGTAGGAAGGGGTCGTCCGCGATTGGGATGGAGAGAGCAGGTGGAGAAGGACAGGGTGAAAGCGGGGTTGCGTGATACTGAGGCGAGTGACAGATTTGGATGGCGTCGAGGGGTATTTTGGTTTCATTATAGGTAGCCAAACGGCAACCCCCGATCTCGTGTGTTGTTGTTGTGTTGGCGGTTATGATGACGATGTTGGCGGTTATGATGATGATGAGGATGAAGACGACGACGACGACGATGGTTACAACATCACACCACCACCAACATCAACAACAACATCATCAACAACAACAACAAACAGCTGGTGAAGTTGTATGCTGTGTGTTCTACGTACGAACCAATTTACATAGTGACCGAGTTCATGGCTCATGGCTCTCTACTGCAGTACTTGCGAGACGACAAGGGCCGGCGATTGAAGTGGAATGATCTCGCCGACTTCGCTACTCAAGTAATCATGCTGTTGTTGTTGGGCTGTTGTTGTTGTTGGGGTTGTTTGCTGGTAGTATAGAGATAATAATGATTTTTTTCTTTTATCTTTCTCTCTCTCTCTCTCTCTCTCTCTCTCTCTCTCTCTCTCTCTCTCTTTCTCTCCGTCACTCGCCCTGTCTCTCTCCTTCTCGGGTGTGAGCAGGTTGCAGATGGCATGAAGTACATCGAGGAGAACAAGTACATCCACAGGGACCTGGCGGCCAGGAACATCCTGGTCGGCAGTTGTGGCGCCGTCAAGATCGGCGACTTCGGGTTGGCCAGGGTTATTAACGACGACCTCTACGAAGCCAAACAGGGTTAGTCGGTCAAAGGTCAAGTGACATTTATGTTGAGGATGATGATGATGATGATTAGAAGAAAGGGGATGATGACGACGATGATTGTTGTTTTCTCATCGATAAAAATTATTCTCTCTCGCTTACCTCACTATCTCGCACGACCTGACCACCCCCCAGGTTCGAAGTTCCCCATAAAGTGGACCGCCCCAGAGGCGGCCATGTACGGCAAGTTCACCATCAAGTCGGACATCTGGGCCTATGGAGTGCTCATGGTGGAGATCTTCACCTACGGACAGATTCCATACCCTGGTTAGTTGCTCTTCATCATCATCATCATCATCATCATCATCATCATATGAAGGAGGTGATGGTGATGACGATGATGATGAGGGTAGTAGTGACACACGCTCAACACACACACACACACAAACCGTTCCGACATTAATATCTAGCTAAAATTCAACGACATTGAAAGTAGAGTTAACAAAAAGTAAAACGTCACTCAAACCCTCCACCGCATCTCGAACGACCCACCTCGCACCACAACGCGCGGACTGACAGGCATGAGCAACTGTGAGGTGATCGCCCAGTTGGACCGTGGCTACAGACACCCGAAGCCGCCCTCCTGCTCGCCTGAGATGTACGAAATAATGAAGATGTGCTGGAAGAAGGAGCCTGAAGAGAGGCCAACCTTTGAGTACCTCTACTCTGTTATGGATGACTTCTCCGTAGCCACACAAGCTACCTACAACCCCATTGATGATTGATTGCCTGGCTGATTGATTGGTTGATTGGTTGATTGGTTTGCTGGATCGTTGATTGGTTGGCGAATTGGTTGGTTGGTTGGTTGGTTGTTTGGTCGGTTGGTTGTTTGGTCGGTTGGTTCGTTGGTTGGTTGATTGATTGGCTAGATGATCGGTTGGTTGGTTGATTGGTTAAATGAAATTCTTGGAATGTTTCAATGCATGTAAATTATGAATCCATGTGGAAGAGATTAAATTATTTTTCGTTGAACCCACATTATCTGTTTCATTTCTGTTGGTCACAAGCATCGGTTTCTTTATTTATTCCTATATTGTGATTCTTATGATAGTAATTGTTATTATTTATTAATTATTATTATTATTATCATGACGTCATCATTCTTATACCTTTGCGGGCTCGTTCGTTTTGTTTTCACTTGAACTCGTTAAAAAAAAATACTATTTTAATTAATTATTTGTTAACTGTAACTATATAATAATAATATGTTTATATATATATATATATATATATATATATATATATATAAGCTGTTGCATAGAGATGGACTTATTTTATGCATATATATATATATTTCTGCCTTCTCATTTTACAGCTTGTTTGTGTGTTTGTTTGTGTGGTTGTGTGTGTGTGTTTTTTCCAAGCTATATAATTCATGTATTTGTCGTTCTTGAACGTTTTAAATGTTTGATTGATAGATTTTATTATAAGTGCAAACTTGTTATCAATGCTAGTATTATTAATAACATTTAGTTCGCGAGTATTCCTGCCTCACATGGGATTGCTGTTGTTGTACTGTTGGGATTGATTTTGTTCTTACGATTCATTTGTTTAATTTTATTTTAATTTATTGCGAAATAATTTGTTAAGTGTATCGGTTTTTTTGTTTATTTCATTGAATAGCTTGTTTATTATGCAATAATTTTCAATTCAATTTGTGGATAATGTTCGATTTTGTTCATTCAGCGTATTCATATTAAGTATTATTATTTTCTTACAATATTTTTTCATTTTTATATTGATCTTTTGTGAAATTTTGAGAAAAATCTGTCCTACTTAATTAATTTGCTTCAAAAATATGATCAATTCATTGATTTTAATTCATTTATAATATAAATTAAGTACAATTATCGATTATTTACAAATTATTATCAGACTTAATTTGATAAAAATGTTACATGGTCTTTTGCAAAGTAGAGTTTCAACGATAACACGTTCAGCGTACGTTCAAGAAATATACATTGCGTCATTACTTTCTGTCATGGATCATAAAGAAATTGTTTCAGTTATATTAATATAATGGAATGATTTTTTAAAACTTCGTTCGATTCAAGGCAAAAACGTCAGAATTTCATTAGCAAGTTGTACATTTTCAAGCTTAGGGGATTGAGTACAACATGAATCTTGAAAAAGGCTACCAGCTTCTTTCGCTATTTCGCTATTAGTGCCTCAGTTAAAAAAAATTGATTTATAGTAATATATAATTCTTCAAAAACTTCCGCGCATAATTTAAGTTATAGTTAAAGGAAATACTTATACCTTTGAAAATAATTTTCATATATAATATTTTTAAAATATCTTTCAAATATTTATAAGTCAGTATCTTGAAATAAGTAATGTAGTATCGTTCGCACATTCATTCAATCATCTCATCAATTTATGCAACAGTGCTTTAACAATGACGTCGTCAATTTTTTATCTTTGCTTTCTTGCGCTTTAGAGGAGACTAAATTCTCATTTCATTGGTAACTGCCATTAAAACTGAAATTGTGTCTTTTTTCCTTTCTTATTTCATTTTATTTCACGTTTTAAAGTCGTAATTATCTAAAAGAAGAAAATTTTCACCATGAGTGAGGGACAAAAGTCAGTTTTTGTTTAAACATTTTTTGTTTTTATTTGATTTTGTTTTATCACTAATTTTCGGCAAAATTATCTAACAATGACATGTGAAATGTGATTTATTTATTGTTAAAAAATGAATATTTTGGGGGTCCAGAGATTATATTTTGTTGAACTAATTGTTTTTGTCACTAATTATTTGGTCTGATGACTTTTTATTAATGTTTTATCCTTTATTTGCGTCGTTAATCAATGTGATATATAATAGGGATGAATAATACAAAGTGTACAAATAAATGAAATGCCTTTTGTGTCTTGTAGTTCTTTTGAGAGACATTCTTTCTCAAGTTGATTTTCTAACATGTTCATTTATCAGTCTAATTAAAACATGGGATGGTCTGTAGAGATTTTAGATGTTTTACTGTTCACACAATGAGTAACATGACTCAGCTATTTTTCATTTTATAAAAATTAAACTTAAAAAAAATTTAACATTTTTTGAGATCACTGATAAAGGTGATTTTAATTTAAAATAAAATAATTAGGCATAAAACTAAAAATAATAATGGTTGGGTTGATTTTAGTTTTTCTATTATTAATTATTTAGTTATTAAAATTTGTTCATTGTTTATTGCAGTCAAGATGATTTGGCGACCGCTATTTTGAGGAGGAAGGCGAAGCCTAATCGACTTCTTGTTGAGGAAGCCATCAGTGACGATAACTCTGTAGTTTCTGTGTCTCAGGTGTGTGTCCATTTTTACATATTTACCTATAATTTGTTTGTGCATCTGTCTGCGTTTGTGTGTTGGTCTGTCTGTGTTTGTGGGGTGTTTATTGACAAATAGTAGGACATAAATCATTGGAATCTATCATAATGCTTTCACATCGTCTTTAGCATACATCTTAAGAAAATGCTTTTAAACCAGTTTTTAATATCATCTGAACACCACTGCTTATAGGCCAAGATGGATGAATTGCAACTATTTCGAGGGGATTCAGTACTTTTGAAGGGGAAACGTCGAAGGGAGGCCGTGTGTATTGTTCTGTCGGAGGAAGGTCTCTCGGACGAGAAGATCAGGATTAATAGGATTGTTAGGAACAACCTGAGAGTTCGACTCGGTGATATCGTTAGGTTGGTGCTGGTTGATGATTTGCTGTTTTGTGATTGGAGATGGTTGACTAATAATTTATTTTATTAAGAAAATGAATGATCAGTACTGGTGTGGTATCATAGATTTAACTATTCACCGAGGATTGTTGAGTTTGACTAGTTTAGCTTTTCTGTTAATCAGTTGATCAGCCAATGAACTAATTTACAAATAAAATAGTTATGTGATTGATTGGTTGACAATTAACCAACTGATGAACGAACAAACAAATGCAGCATCCAGTCTTGCACAGATGTGAAGTATGGAAAGCGAGTACACATTCTCCCCATTGATGATACCGTCGAAGGGCTGACTGGGTTAGTTCTCATTGAGTTGGTGTTGGTGAGGAGGAGGAGGAGGATGATGATGAATTGAATAATGAAGGTTGTGGTGGTGGAGAAAATGATAGCCAGGGTTGAATTAATTTTTTGCATGCTCTCACAGAAACCTGTTCGAAGTTTACCTGAAACCATATTTCTTGGAGGCATACAGACCAGTGCACAAAGGAGATATCTTCTTAGTGAGAGGGGGCATGAGGGCCGTGGAGTTCAAGGTTGTTGAAACTGATCCCTCCCCTTACTGCATAGTGGCCCCGGATACTGTGATACATTGTGAGGGTGAACCTGTCAAAAGGGAGGTTTGTAGGGTTGGGGTTGTACAATGATGGGGGTGGTGGTAAAGATGAAGTTTGTCGTTCACATTTATATATTAATGATAATTGTGGTGCAATTGTTTCTTGTAATTAGGAGGAGGAAGAAGCTCTGAATGAAATCGGGTATGATGACATTGGGGGATGTCGCAAGCAGCTCGCTCAGATCAAAGAGATGGTCGAACTGCCTCTCAGGCATCCACAGCTCTTCAAGGCTATTGGAGTTAAGGTTGGTTGGTAGGCTCACTGGCGATTGTTTGATTGATTGATCATGGATGTATTCCTCACATTGTGAGGGCAAACCTGTCAAAAGGGAGGTTTGTAGGGTTTGGGTTAATCTTTTATTCATCTTCTGTTAATGCGCTTCACTCCATGTACGAAACAGCCTCCTAGGGGAATCCTGTTGTACGGACCTCCAGGGACGGGCAAGACCCTGATAGCTCGGGCTGTGGCCAACGAGACAGGAGCATTCTTTTTCCTGATCAACGGGCCAGAGATCATGAGCAAGTTGGCTGGAGAGTCAGAGTCAAATTTGAGGAAGGCATTTGAAGAGGCCGAGAAGAATGCACCTGCCATCATCTTCATTGATGAGTTGGATGCCATTGCTCCCAAGAGAGAGAAGGTGAGTTGATGGAGAGGGTTTGATAGTGTAGATAGATTGAGGGATAGCCAGTTAATTAATTGCCAACAATTCCATCCACCCACCCAACCCAACAGACACATGGTGAGGTAGAACGTCGCATAGTATCCCAGTTACTGACCTTGATGGATGGATTGAAACAGAGAGCTCATGTTATCGTCATGGCAGCCACCAACAGGCCTAACAGCATTGATGCAGCTCTCAGAAGATTTGGTTGGTCATCGTTGTTGGCTGTTGTTGGTTGTTTTGCTTATTATTTGTTTGGTTGTTGACCGTTTGGCCAGTTGATTCATTGATCTATTGACCTTCCAGGTCGCTTTGATAGAGAGGTGGACATAGGCATCCCGGACACAACTGGCAGACTGGAAATTCTTCGCATACACACCAAGAACATGAAGTTAGCAAAGGATGTCGACCTGGAAAGGGTATTTTGTTTAAAAATTTTTCTCAATTAATTGAAGATCAAAACTGAGTTAGAAGTTATTGGGAGTCTTAAAATCTGAATTGAACAGGTGGCAGCAGAGACCCATGGACATGTTGGAGCCGATTTGGCAGCCTTGTGCTCAGAGGCAGCCCTTCAACAGATCAGAGAGAAGATGGATCTCATTGATTTGGAAGATGATGCCATTGATGCCGAGGTTCTCAATGCACTGGCTGTTTCGCAAGAAGATTTCAGAGTGAGTTGATCTCTCGGTTGCCCCTTTAAAGAAATCATTGATTTGCTGATAAATGTCTTAATGCATTGTTTCCTCAATCAATCACGACGTGAATGAATGCAGTGGGCACTGAGCAAGAGCAATCCAAGTGCACTGCGTGAGACAGCAGTAGAAGTTCCAAACGTGACGTGGGAGGATGTTGGTGGCTTGGAGAATGTGAAGAGGGAGTTGCAGGAACTCGTCCAGTACCCAGTTGAGCATCCGGATAAATTCCTAAAATTCGGTATGACCCCGTCAAAAGGAGTCCTCTTCTATGGACCTCCCGGATGTGGAAAGACCCTGTTGGCCAAGGCCATTGCCAATGAATGCCAGGCTAACTTTATATCCATCAAAGGCCCTGAGCTGTTGACCATGTGGTTTGGTGAGTCTGAGGCAAATGTGCGGGATATCTTTGACAAGGTTCGTCGATTGCTATCACTTCTCAATAATAAAATTGATCAGCTCCAGTGCATTTGGCTGATATATTTTCTTCTCCCCATGTCTTCTAATGGTTGTTCATGCACGCTTCAACAATTCAACAGGCTCGATCAGCCGCCCCCTGTGTCCTCTTCTTTGATGAGTTGGATTCGATTGCTAAGGCTCGTGGAGGGAACGTGGGCGATGGTGGCGGTGCTGCTGACAGGGTCATCAATCAACTTCTCACTGAGATGGATGGAATGAGTTCCAAGAAAAATGTCTTCATCATTGGAGCTACAAACAGGTGCGTGTGTGTGTGTGTTTGCGCGCCTCTGTGTGGTTGTTGTTGTTGTTTTGTTTGTGTCTTTGTGTGTTAAGAATTGTTACATCTCTCTGAACAAAATGCACCGTCAAACAACAGGCCGGATATAATTGATTCAGCCATCCTTCGTCCAGGAAGATTGGACCAGCTCATCTACATCCCACTCCCTGATGAGAAGTCGAGGGTGGCCATCTTGAAGGCGGGGCTTAGAAAATCTCCAGTCGCTCAGGTAAGCGGAGTTAAGATTTCATTGTTGATTTCATTGGTTGATCTGTTTATTGTTTGAACCAATCAGGATGTTGACATAGACTACCTGGCCAAGGTAACACACGGTTTCAGTGGGGCTGACTTGACAGAAATCTGTCAGAGAGCATGCAAGCTGGCAATCAGGGAGGCCATCGAAAGTGATCTAAGGAGGGAGAGAGATCAGGAAAATAAGCCCGGTCCGGCTGATATGGTCAGTTGTGATTTTTTAATTGGTGGTTTTGAAGTTGTGAATGGCCCTACTGCAACTGAATGAACGCTCGTGAAGTCAGAAACAAACAAACAAATACATCTATTAAACGCAGGACGACGACTACGATCCAGTGCCAGAAATCCGACGAGACCACTTCGAAGAGGCCATGAAGTTCGCCCGTCGGTCCGTCACAGACAACGACATCAGGAAGTATGAAATGTTCTCTCAAACGTTACAGCAGTCCAGAGGAATGGGATCCAACTTCAGGTTATGAAAGTTTATGAGCTCTTGCTTATTGCTGTTTCTTTGCTGGTTGGCTAGTTGGTTAATTAATTGGAGAGTTTTATAGATATGAATTTCATAACAACAAAAATTAATATTGCTAATCAGATTCCCAGGGCAAGGTGGAGGTGGTAGGCAGCAAGGTCAAGGAAATAACTTGGGTGGTCCAGGTCAGCCGTCTCAAGGTCAAGGACAACAAGGTGGCCAGTACCAAGACGATGCTGATGACGATCTATATAGCTAAGATGCTGACGATGAAGTTAATAGTGGTGATGATGATGAGGATGAGAAAGAAGATGATGATGATGTTGTTAGGATGATCGGTTAAAAGTGACGACACATTTTAATTTATTGAAAATTTAAAATGGCTGTGCTGAAGATGCAGTTGATTTTATATAAGCAGTGAAAAAATTTGAGAGAATGAAGAAATGAATGAGCGAATGAATGAACAACAAACTTATTAAATTGAAACTTTGGTATATATGTATATATAAATAAATATATATAGATGTGCGTGTGTGTGTGTGTGTGTGAGTGAGATTAGTTGATCCGTCATCAAATGCGTCTTTATAAATATATATATATATTTATATGTATGTGTAATTGTCTATTCATTTGGCCGTTATGTGGAAATAATTTTTTATAAATCGCTCGTTGTCTTTAATTTATTGCTGAATGCCGTTCATTATCATCATTATTATTATCCGTTATTTTTTCGTATTAATCATTATTATTTAATATTATTATCGTCACTTATAATTACATTAGTAGTTCGTCCTTCTCTACATTCTTACACACACACACAGACAGAGTGTCATTCTGATGGAGTTACGAAGGAATAAATTGCGAAAAGATTGCATCAAATTTTAGTTCGAATCCGTTGATTTGACGAATTTCATTTCTCAATTGAGAAAAGTTTACATTAAATTATTTTTGTCAGCCACCAATCAGGCAAGTAAACTTAAGTTCACCATATTCCAAGAAGCATTAAACTTTTCTTGGCTGAATTTTTCCGTGAGTTACATTTATATTTTTACGGTTTTTTTTTGTTAGAATACTTGCATATGAACTTTACATATGCGTACATACATGCGTACATTTATTACATACAAACATGCACAGTAAATGCGTGCACACGCAGACTAGACGTACATATGTACATACACACAGTACGATCGGACATTTATTGCCTTTTATCTCACTCTATCTGTTTACAACAACATCAGGCATGTGAGCTAATCTGTTTATGCACGTGTGTGTCTGTGATTGCATGTTAAATTAAATACAAACACGGTGTGTGTGTGTGTTTATATGCACGCATGTATGTATGTATGCAAGGTTGTTAATATCAAAGTAACTCTATCGCCGCTCTTGTTTCATCAACGATGTTCCTTCGGTATTAGCTCCGGTATCGGCCACACTTTTGAGGCTGAGAATCGAACTTGCCCTCACCGATGCTCTTCAGACTGGAAAAAGAACGAAACTTAAGAACCTTGGACATGGATTGAGCGTACTTTTGTTACTTCAATTTTTAAAGTTTAGTGTTTTTTTCAAAGTCGTAGTCTTCGGTCGAATAATAGATCGATTGATTATTCGACTGTTCTGCCTTCGGTCTCTAAATCACTGTTCGGTGCATATCTAGTCTCTAAGTATTCATGTATATGTATATATGTGTGTGTGTAATGAGGTAAGTTGTCTGTGAAATAGAATACGCGTCGTCTTTTGGTGTGTATAGGTGTTAGCACATGTGTATAATATGTGTGTTAGCACATGTGTATGTGTGCTTGTGTGTTGCGTTTGCATGTGCTCGTGTGTTCAAGTGTTGTGCTGATATACTTACGATACAATTAAATAGATGATTGATGTATGGGCCGACGATTCAAAGAGAAAGTGCATGAAAGGATGCATGGATGGATGCATGGATGGATTGGTGTGCAGATAAAAGAATAAATGGATGAATGAATGAATGGGTGAACAAATAAATGAATAAATTGGTGAATGATTACAAATTTATGGACAGAATCGTTCATTTTTTAAAGTCTGATTGTGATCTGAATCTTCATCATCAGCTTCATCATCAATGTCCATCCAACGTAATATATACTGTATATGTGTTTGCATGTATGTATGTATGTATGTATGTATGTATACATGTATGTATGTGTGTATGTATGCATGATGTATGTATGTATATGTGTGTATATGCATTCATAATTGTATATATAAGGAAGTTGCGCTATGTTTGAGTTAAATTTGTAAAGTTAAATTTGTATTGTTTGAAGCATAGTATTTACATATTTTGTTGTTTAAAAATATAATTTTTATTACTCAATCATTCATTAATTAATTCATTCATTAAATAATTAATTAATTCTTTCGTTCATTCATTCATTCATTTGTTTATTTATTTATTTATTGATGGATACACATTAAAAAGTTGAAGGAAACATGTCGATGAATGATGTGCGGAATCTTCTTCTAATTTTTTTGCTGCTACACCAACATCATGCTTTCTGTTGGAATGGCTGGCTGTTGGTATCTTTGTTTTGTTGTAGTTTTGTTATTTATATTCTTTGGTTTGTTGTTGTTTGTGTGCATGATAATGATGATGTGGGAAAATTTTTTATTAAATATTAAAAAAATGAATATTTCCTTTCACGGAGACGTTTGGCGGTTGAACCGATGAACAACATCAACAACAACAACAAAGATAAAACAGCCAACAACTCACTAAACAGCAAAGAACTACCGCTAAAAAACTCGCGCAAAATTGTTACAAATGGAACCGTCGCTCACGGTGATGTTGCTACTACGACTTTCAACTTGAACAGAAGATTCGACGATGACTTGATCACTAATAATAATAATAATGATAATAATAATAAACACAATAGAAATATTAATAGCTACGTTAATAATAATAATAATGGTAATGTCAGTTATACAAATAGTAATAAAAAGCGTTCGTTTTCGTCGCTTCAAAATTATCCCCGGCACCAACAACATAATTATCGCCACCGTGAAAAGTTTCGTCAACAACTTCCACAACAACAACAACTTCTTCAACAACAACAACATTCGCAACAACATTCACGACAAACGAAACAACATGCTAAACCACATCATCAGCTTAATAAAAAACAATATCTTCAGTCTACACCCCAGAACCAAGAATATCAATACTACTATCAACAACAACAACTTCAACAACAACAATTTCAACAACAACAACTTCAACATCAGCAACAACAACATCAGCAACAACAACATCAGCAACAACAACTTCAACAACAACAACAACTTCAACAACATCAGCAACAACATATCAACAACTGCACCTATCAGACAGAAATGTTGCAGCACAAAATTGATGCATGTTCTCATGAGAACCACGCGATCATCAACAGCATCCAACAAGGTCATTGTTATCGTTTTGTTAAAGTTGTAGTAGTGGCAGTAGCAGTAGTAGCGGCAGCAGTAGTAGTAGTAATAGTGGTGGTTGTAGTAGTAGTAAATAATAATAATAATAATAAAAACCACAGGATCGGTGTTGGGACTGTCGGAATGCAGGCAGCAGTTTGAAGAGGAGAGGTGGAATTGTCGTCTGCTGGACGGGGCGACCAAAGATGAAAATATCCTGGAGACTATTTTGCAGCAAGGTCCTTCTTCTTCTTTGTCTTCTTCTTCTTCTTCTTCTTCTTCTTTTTTTTATTATTATTATTGTTATTATTTTACGCAATCAACCAATCAATTGATTTCATTTGTTCATACTCGATCTTACCAATCCGAAAACGAAAACTTCCAAAATTCGTCCTTTTATAAGAGGACTTTTAAAAAGCCAACCAACCAACCAACCAACCAGCCAAATGAGAGCCATCAAAAAGCAACCATTCATCATACCCGCCCCACAAAAACCATCCAATCAATTGATACCAATCATCAAACTAACCGTCCAATCAGGAACGAAGGAGATTGCTTTCATCCACGCCATCACGTCTGCCTCACTCGCTCACTCCATCACTTCATCATGTAGCGCTGGCCTCCTTCTAGAATGCTCTTGCGACAGGGTGGTGATGATGATGATGATGAGGATTGTGGTGATGATGATGATGATGATGATGATGATGATGATAGTGGATATGATTAAAATAATCTTATTAAATATTTAAATCTCAACTCGCCAAATTTGTCATTATTCACATTACCTCATCATCTTCACCACCACGACCACCACTACCACCACACAGTCCCTGCAGTCGATCGTGAGTACGGACAGCAGCTGGCGCTGGGGTGGCTGCAGCGATAACGTCCAATACGGCATCAAGTATTCGAAGATCATCACAGATGGTGGTGATGATGATGAGGAGGAGGATGGGGGTGGTGGTGGTGGGGGTGGGGGTGGTCATCTTCATGGTCATGGTAATGACGTTGTTGGTCATAGTAGTGATGATGTCGATGATGATGATGACGTCATCACTGTGGTGAGTCATGGTGATTATGTTGAAAGAAAAAGCCGAAAAGTGAAGACCGGAAGAAGGAAAGTAAGGAGCCATCATCATCAGGCCCCCCATCTCAATAATAATATTAATAAAAATAATAAAAATAACAATAATAATAATAATAAACAAATAACGACAAGAAAACAAAAAGACGGAAAAAAGGCAGCTCTGATGGAACGGGTTCGATCGCTCGTTCATCTGCATAATAATGATGTCGGAAGGAAGGTAGTCATGATGATGATGATGACGATGGTGGTGGTGATGATGATGACGACGATGGTGGTGATGATTATTACAGAGGTGTCGTTGTTGTTGATGATGATAATGAATACGTAAATATTTGTATGTTACCAATTATATATTCGAATGTTCGTTAGCTACAATTATGTTACCTATCCATCTAGCTATTCTTTCATCCATCCATCCATTCATTCATCCATCTATCCATTCAATCACTCAATTATTCATTCATTCGTTCAGTCAGTCAGTCCCTCATTCATTCATTCATTCATTCATCCATCATCAATAAATTTATGTCTTATGCATTAAATAAATCGCCTCTTCATCCATCCATTCCTCAAATTATTTACACACACGTACACACTCACACATACACATACATACACACACATACATACACACACACATACACACACACACACACATACACACACACATACACTCACACACACACATACATACACACATACATACGTGCATACAAATGTTCGGAGTAATGCATTGAGACATGAATGTAACGTCGGTGATGATAGGAGGTGTTGACCAGTAAACACGTCCAATTATATGCGTTAAGTGCTACTACTTCTCTCTCTCTCTCTCTCTTTCTCTCTCTTTCTCTCTCTCTTTCTCTTTCTCTCTCTATCTTGGCTTGCTGAATCGTGAGAAAACTGAAGAGAGAAAAAGAGAGAGAGAGAAGTGAGGGTGACGAAAGAAATTCCTGGCAAATGTGTTTTTAATTATCATTATATTCATATCATCCGTTCGTTCGTTCGCCGGTTCGAATGCACCCCTCCCCCGCTAAAAAATGTTTTATCTCCTTCTTGGGACAATTAATTTTAATTACGAGCTATCTACAAGTTTGTGTGTGTGTGTGCTTGTGTGTGCGCGTGTGCGCGTGTGTGCGTGTGTGCGTTTATAAGCCAACGTCATTTTATCAATACTAAATATGTTTGTTCAGGCGCTTCATTTTCTATCATTAATTTATTTCTTTCGTTTGTTCGTTCATTCGTTTGTTCGTTCGTTCGTTCGTTCACTTGTTCATGTTGTTTTTGTTGTTCTAATCACTTCCACATGCTCTGATTGAGATTTCAAGTTGCTCCATCATCGACCGGTCGGTCGGCACACGTACACACACACACGTACACACACACACACACACACACACACACACACAGATACACACACATATAGCCACTTAATGCATCAATCTATCTATCTTGTTGATCAAAGAATTCTTAAGAATTTCTTTACATCAACATAAATACGAATGGTTAACAAGCTGTTTTATAAAGTTAATTCTTTTAATGTCCATCCATCTATCATTTTATTTATCAATCAGTCTATTCATTCGTTCATTCGTTCGTTCATTCGTTCGTTCATTCATTCATTCATTCATTCGTTCATTCACGGATTCATCTTCAATCCTAATCTTATCACGTGATATATTTTCGGCCAATCTCAATTGAGCTCGTTTATTTACAGCACGCATATACAACAAATTTATATATATATATATATATCATCATCACAATCATCATCATCATCACCACAATCATCATCACCACAATCATCATCATCATCACCACCACCACCACTACAGACCTTGCACTCCCTGATGACCCACAAATGTCGTTGCCATGGTGTCTCGGGGTCGTGCGCGGTTCGATCCTGTTGGAGGTCCCTGCCCAGCTTCCGGCAGGTGGGGGACCAATTGAAATTCAAGTACCTGGACAGCGTCGAAATTTCTCCCTCTTTGCAATTGGCTGATAGCAACTCAGTGAGTGTGGCCTCTGGTCAAAAGAGCCAATGGAGAAGGTCCGTTCATAGAAGAAAGAACGTGATTGGTGGAAAAGTTACTGATGAAAATGAAAAGAGTTTTAAGAAAGAAGAGAAAAAAATGATTGTTCGCCCAAAACAACAACATCAACAACATCAACAACAACATCATCAACAACATCAACAACTAACCCTCGTAATGAAGCATCGCGACAAACGCAACAGCATACCCCAACCCGCCTCTGACACCGACTTGATCTTCCTCGATAAATCTCCCAACTACTGCCGGCCAGACCGCAAGAGAGGGGTCCAAGGAACTCGGGACCGAAACTGCCAACCCGATACCGACAAACCGAACAATTGTAAGCATCTCTGCTGCGGGAGAGGGTATCGAACCCGGGTGATCGAGGTCGACGAAGCTTGTGAATGCCAATTTATGTGGTGCTGTAGTATTCAGTGCAAGATTTGCAAGAAGGTTCAAGTTGTTCATACGTGCCTGTGAATGTGTGTGTGTGCGTGTGTGTTCGTGTGTGTTCTAGTTTGAAAAAGATTCTTCGATAGAAAATAAAATAATGTAACGAGTTGCATGCCGTTTTTTGTTTTTTTTTTGATGTTTCCTTCGATATTTTGTTGTAACTTCGATTAACTTTTTCTTGTTTTCCTCATCCCCCTCACCATCGTCATCATCTTCCTCATCCCCTCACCATCGTCATCATCTCCCTCATACCCCTCACCATCGTCATCATCTTCCTCATATCCCTCACCATCCTTCATATAATAATTATCACCATTTTGTTGGCCACTGAAATTTATTCGGCAATTAAACTCGATAACTCTCTTGATGATTCTTGTCAACTTCCTTACCCACACACACAAACACACATACACAGACAAACATACACACACACACCTACCTACACGTACGCATACAAACACACACACACACACACACACACAGTTGTACAATATTTATTGGTCTTATTTATTTACTGATACACGATACCGCCAGTACTATATAGACTACCTACATACATTTCAATATATACACATAAAATTTCATTCTTTTACCATTCATTTATCCGTCCGTCTATTTTTCAGTTCATCCATTCATTCATCTAATCATTCAATCGTTTGTTCGTTCATCCACTCATTCATTCATTTATTCGTTCATTCATTCACTTATGATCAAACCATCGACTAGTCATTTTTATTCTTTCTCGATTAACACATTATTTTCACCATGAATTTAAACGTCGTCGTATTCATTAGCCTCCTCGCCGGTTTGAATAGTTTGATGGCCTTATAAAATTGTTCCTGATTAAGCTTTAATACTTGAACGCCTTCCATGGGATGGTTAATCCAATCCACTATTTCAATGTAACTATTCGATGCAATGTACCAATGGGTGCTCGAGAATGTAAAACCAACCAGCTAACCAACCAGCCAACTAACCAGCAAGTCGTCAATTTCAAACAGCATTTCAATTCTACCATCATATATACTGGCATTTTTGGCATTGTAAATAAATTATTAAATGTGTGTGTATTTATAACTCAGCTTTTTATTACTTAAATATCTAATAATAGTAATTTTATTTTTAATTACAAACAAAACTGCGACGAGAAACTTAGTGGCCCATTCGTCACCTGTCGAATATTCAGTTGGAAAAAATTAAATCACCAGGTTGGTGCGAAGACGGGTGTCGGTTTTGCGTTTTTTAATTTTCCAACAGAAACTTTTAAAATTAATTTTATCGGGTACATTGACAATTATTTATCATTGTAAAGGTTATTTAATGCTCTATTTAGTTTGTATTAAAAATTCCACACTGCTTGTCTTCGAGCTTCATCAGTTCAAACTGCCACATAACTGATGCAGTTCGTAAGATTTTTAAAGCAGGGTGGGATGCCTGTACTTTTGTGCCTGTCACACAAAATTGGTTGAAAAAATTTCGTGCTGGTGCTCTGAGCTTCGAAGTTGAAGAGGTCCGCGTTCGAACAAGGTAGGTTGATGGTGGTGAACTGAAGGCAACTACTGCAGCGAGCCCTGGCAAAATTGCTGAAGAACAACGGAGCAAGAAAGCCTCACGACAATAGTTCGACTTTCCAAACGAATCGATGAGGTTGGATGGTTTGATAAATAAATGAATAAAAATCCGAAACTTCGTAGTTTTGAGATGTCGGATGGATTCATCTGCTCTCTCTGGACGGATTGCCATGAACCTTCTGTAATGAAAAGAATACGCTACCTACATGACGGCACGACGGACAACGTCCAACTCAGTGGCAGGACCAAGATGGCAGCTCAAAACTCTTTCCAAAACAAAATGGATGGATGAATGAAGGAATGAATGAACGAACCGATGAATGAATGAACGAATTAATGAAGAAAAGAAATGTGTAATTAAAATGAAACTTCGTATTTTTATATCAATTTTTTATTCAATAAACAAAGATTTTTTTTCATAACGGAATAAATAGTTTAAAAATTGAAAAGTAGGAAGTTCTCGTCATCCGAGCACCATATTCTGTTTGCCAGTCCTACCACCTCCACCACTTGCATGCAGATCATTCACGGCTTGGAAAGCACCACCACCACCAAAAGCATTAGAAGCGCCACCAAGACCACCCAGATGACCAATCCTTATACCGTCGTGGTAAGCGCCAAAATTCGTGGCTCTGTTGCCAGTGAAAGTGGAAGCTGTAGCAGCAGTAGTAGCGGTTGAAGTAGTGGCAGTGGTAGTGGTAGCGTCTCTCTGTCTGTCGAAAGTGACGTACGCCTCTCTAAAGTTGGAACTCTCACTCGCATCATCATCTCTCCTCCTCCTCCTCCTCCTCATCTTCAGGCAGTTGAACAGGCGCTCGCAACGATGCTGTTCATGTGGGAGGAGAGATGATGATGAAGATGAAAGTTATTACAAATAATCATCAGACCACAACCGACCATTCAACCAACCAATTAACCGACCATTCAACCAACTGACCAACCGACCAACCATTCAAGCAACTGACCTCAATCAACCACCTTCCAGCCGGTGTGTTGGGATATCTGAAAGCATAGACTAGCCAGCTGATGAACGATAATACGGCTACCGCAGATAAAACAACAAAGAAATAAATGGCATAGAACATTATCGGCGTCAGACCGGTATTCGAACCTTCATCATCACCCATTCCTCTGATCCGATCGCTGTAGTAAGTGATGTTATCAAGGACGGTACCGTTCCTAACCTCAATGACCTTCTCGTCCGGGAACTTGCGACTGTTTAGAAATGCTTGGAGTGATGATGACGATGATGATAATGAGTGGGACGAGTTTGCTTTAAGATCTTCCAATGGGCACTCGTTCAATGACTGCGTGCTCTGTCATTGGTTGATTAATTTGATTCGGCGGTTTTTGATTGGCTCGTTTGAATCATTAGGATAGATGGAAAAATATATAAACCAATCAATCAATCAGCCAGCCAGCCAGCCAATCAGCAAACCGACCCCCTCATGGCACTTGTGTTCCACCCAGAACTGCCTCTTCCTATCGAATCCATCTGAGCACAGCTTCATCTTCTCACACCACTGGCAGTTCAATTTCGAGGTCACCTGATCGTCATCATCATCATCATCATTAATAACATTATTATTATTTTTATTATTATTATTATTATTATTTATTTATTTATTTAATGTCCCCAAATACAAAAATGGTAGGAACTTGTGAGTGAAGGCACTGCGGACAGTTCGTCTGTTCGATGCAGTCTAGCCAAGGAGTGCAGGAATGAAAGAGTGTATAAGTTAATGAATGAATGAATGAATGAACAAATGAATGAATGGACGAACGAATGAATGAATGGACGAATGAATTGATGAATGAATAAATAGATAAACGAGAGAACGAACGAAGAATGATTGAGCGAATGAATGATGAACGAATTAACAACAACGTCAAAAATTGACTAGGCAATAAAATATCGATGGATGAATGGATGGATAAAAAGAATAAATTATAAATAAATGAATGAATGAATGAATGAATGAATGAATGAATGAATGAATGAATGAATGAACAACAGCAACCACAACAGTGGCAATTACAGACTAGGTAAGGGAATCAACTTGATGGATTTGTACATGGAGAGGCGTTCCAGCGGTATGTTGACTTTGTGGTACAACGTCATTATGCGGATCTTAAAAGCTGTGTGGTCGGGTGGTTGGTGGTTAGAGTGGCTGGTGGTCGGGTGGTCTGTGGTCGGGTGATCGATTGATGGTTGGTTGATCATTGGTCAATTGACTGATTGGTTGACTGGTTTGGGGATTAAATGAATGGTTTCTTCTTGTTTGAACGAGAATATTACGTGATTTATTCGTTAGTCAAAGATATGTATACTACCAATCGATCAACCAACAACAAATCAACCAGTCAGCCAGCCAACCAGCCAACCAGCCAGTTAACCAGAATCATGCATAGACTGCATGTAGTAAGCATCTGACAAGCCGACTGCAACATCGTGAGGATTCGCTCGCGACAACCATTCTATTATCGTCCTGTTCAACTACAAGTGTGTGTGTGTTTGTGTGTGTGTGTGTGTGCGTGTGTGTGGGTGTGTGTGGGTGTGTGGAGGTTTAGAGTTAGGTATGTTAAAATAAATTTCAAAGATGACTTGGCGAATATAAATGGAAAAAATATGTAAATAAACGAATAAATGAATGGAAAGTTGGCAGATGAATGAGTGAATGAATGAATGAATTAATGAAAAAGTGAAGGTGTGAACAAATGAATGAATGAGTGAACGAGTGAATGAACACATAAACAAATGAATAAATAAAAAAATAAAATAAAAAATGGAATAAACTGAAACCAGATTTTTATAGTTGAAGATTATGAGGCCGTTTGAATGGAAGATCATTTGAAATGTTAATACTGGACCTGTGAGTGA